GGGGGCAACTATCCATCTTCCTCCTCCTGAGCATGAACTACTCCTTTTGGGGAAATTTTGGGCATTGAAGAATTTTGAATTGGTAGGAATCATTAAAAAAGTGTTCAGTAGTTTCCTTGTCAGCTGTAAAATATATTTGCAACTGCAGCAGACAAGCAGCCAAATGGAGGTATGTAGTGTGGACATAAAGCTTTTTCAGAATTTGCTGTATTAAATATAAGTGCTTAACATCTCATGTTTTTTTCTTGATGTAAAACTAAAGGAAAAAACAAAACATGAATATAATTTCAAGATTTAGTGATAATAAACATATAATGCTGTACTTAGCGCCATGGAAGGCGCACTGGGTTCACTTATTCAGCTGTGAAAGATTTAATAAATTCCACTTTCTGCCTAAGAATTAATTAGGAATGAGTAGACTCTGCATAGGTTGTATGGCTTGAAACAGCTTATGATTTATGTTGACTTCTTGATATATTGCAGGTTCTTCAGCAAAAGCACTTGTGAGCTTGAAAGGTAAGAAATTAATGTGTTATTTACTTGTACCCAGTCTGACTTTCAGGTGTACTTAGTTTCTGGCTTCACAAAGTTTGAGAAAATACCACCGAAGAAAGTTTTTTGTTGAAATACGATTTGGTTTATTGTAGATATTTGTTAGTTCTCTAGACTAATACTCCTTGGCAGTTGAAACTACATATGTTGTGGTGTATTTAGACACTGCTCTTCTGGATGAAATTCCTGAAATGTATTTTTTTCTTTGTAAGTACTGCCAAGGTGTCAGGTTTGATGAGAAGATTGGGATAATCTTTCCTCTCTTGAGGACAAGATGCGAGAAGGATTCTTAGCAAGATCTGTACATGTGACAGAATTTACATTAGGAAGGCATTTCACAATTTCATTGTATTCTCTGTCAGCAGGTTGTGGGCTAAATCAAAAATCTACTGCTGCTTACATTTTTTTCTTTGAAAGTGTCTTCAGGAGCATTCATACAAATTTTGAATACTTTTAGTTTGCCCAATAATAGAAGCTTCTTTATGTATTACAAGGCCTCTGTTACATAAGGAAGAAGGCATGGTCTGTTGAATATGTTGTAATATAGGTTTGTTGTAATAAAATTTGTTTTACTTGTTGATCTGCACCCACTTCATACATTTCTAGAACCAGACGGTGGTTAAGTCTTGTAGAGCTGTACCTTCTGCAGGTTTGTTACAGCCACAATTCAGCTGTCTAAATGTGTGTCAACCTGACAGTGGAAGTAACTGATTCCAGCAAAGGAGGTTTCAAGAAACCTAAACACAGACACAAGTAAAAAATGTTTTGTTCGTGTTTCTCCTTGTACTGAAAACCTCCTTCAATTTTTTGAATTATTGTTCAGAACAGTTTAATGAAAATATTGAAATCTAAAATCCATTTGTAATTGAATTCAAAGAAGATGTTGCAAGTGAAAAAAAGTGTTTTATTAGTTGATGTTATACAAGCTTTTGGATAGTGGTTATGTTGAAACATACACATATGTATACATATGTTAATGACATACTTTCTTCACAACAGAGGGAAGCTTATCAAGTTCGTGGAATGAAAGGTGCAATTCTCTGCAGAAAACGCACATTTGGAAAAGCAAGAATGCTGGTTCTGCAGTGGAAATGGTAAGAAGTAAAAAAAAAGCAGATTCAGAATTAGTAAAATACCACAGAATGAATGAAATTTAAGGATCACAAAATTTGGCTGAGATTTATAGTTTCATAATGTCCAAGTGTTAAGCTATGTCCTTCACAAGCACTCTGCACAGTTTGAATATGAGAGACAAACATATTTTATAAATGAATAATTGAACAAGTTAAATTGCTGACCTTGTTCAAGATAACTCGTAATAATTTTCTCTGTGTTTTTTGTAAAGCAGGTGCTGTGTGAAGTATTTGTACTGTATCTACCACCTTGAACTTAGGAATCACCAATTCTGATCAACTATTTTTGCATCTCAGTAAATATCTCACTTCTAATTACGGCTGGGAACTGACACATAAAGGAAAGGAAGGAGAAACATCATAATGCACTTCCATCATTGTGCCTTCTGGGAGAGTAGATTTTAATAAAAGTAGAGGAACATCAGTGAGGTGTGTGACGTTCTGAGAAGTCTCATAGGAGGCCTTACATTAAAGAACAGCCTTGGGGTGGGGATATGAAATGAGCCTGCAGCTTCCAAGGACATATCTGGTGTTTAGGTTGACAGTTTCCCTCTCTCCTTGAAATATTTTGAAATATTCTTTCCCTGTCGTATCACAGTCAAGCTTTTCTTGACTGTTCTCAGCCTCCTGTACCTTAGAAAATTATGGGATTTTGGTTTGGTTTTGCCACCAGCTTTATTGCACCTGGTTTGTCTACATGTGTAACGCTGCGTGCTTTCATTTTTACACTCTGGAGAGTATATGAAATACCATCTCAGTTGCTAGGCAGATTGTTCTCCCATACTCCTGGTGCCACCTTCTCCTACAGTATTTGAGACCCACTTGCCAACTATCACCTGGTTTTTATTAAAATTATTTTTTTTAGCAGTTTGTTTATCTAAAGGGAAACGTTATATTTGAAAACTGTCATGCTTGCCTGCTCTGCACATAATCAAAATATCTGAGTAGCATCTAGTAGTGCATTAAGTGATGTGACTAACATCTGTCATATGTAGTTTGTTCTGCAGTCTTCTCCCTGGTATGTATTTTGGTGGGATTCACACAGATACATATATGCACACATGTTGCTATGTGTTTGAGCTAGAGAACATAAGGTCTACAAAATGCAGTTCCAGACAGAGATCAGAACTTTATGATGGCCCCTAGTTCCTGCAGTTCGTGTCAGTTTTCAGCTGTTTCCCAGGAATGCCCCTCTTCTCATAGAAACAAGCCTTACCACATGTGCTAAAGAACCAAAGTCACTAGCCATAGTATTTGTATAAAAGCTTTGTTAGTCTTCAGGTATGTAGGTATTAAAAATATGGAGTCAAACTCTGAATGTAGCTCAGTATTTTGTAGAAAGCTGGGGAAAGATCTGAATAGAGTCTGATGTGATAGCAATTGCCTACATTGCTGAGATGTGATGGAGTAGTTTGAGTTCCCTGAATGCTGAAAGTTTTGCAGAGACGTTGTACTGTTGGTTGAAAAATCTTTCCAAAAATGGCTGACCTTTTTAGCTAACATGGATGATGCTTCTTTGCCAGGCTTGTTACTTTGCTCTTGTGTGAGGCACAGACAGTCCAGAATGATGAAACACTCTTACTATTTTGGATAGTTTATTGGAATAGAATTTGGCAATTCCTGTTGAGGGTTGTAAAACAGTTCGCTTGATCTGGATCATAATGATTTGGTTACAAACTCATTAAATATCTCCCTTAAGTGTAAAATGCTTTATTTACACTTAAGTGAAGTTTTATTTCACTTTGTTGATTTATTTTGTTTCTGACTCCTGTGAGGGACTTATATTTGTTATCAGTATTCTTCACCTTGTTGGTGTTACAGTTTTAATACCCCGTATCAATTTGTAGCACTTTCACCCTCTGTATTGAAAGAAGTCAAATCTGCATTTGTTCTACCTTTACCTGTCACCTTTGTAAGTAGTTTGAAGTGCAAGGAATGCCACAGAGTGCAGTTTTGGGATTCTGTAAAGGAGATCCATTTCAGTGGTGGCTGTCTCCTGTGCTGGGCCATAAAGTCCTGGAAGGAAAAGCTGCTTCCCCTCAGCACTAACAGCCAGTCATAGGTTACTCTTTTCTCCTCATTGAAGGCACAAGTTTTTTGTCATAGGGTAAAATGTTGAGGAATAACTAAACGTATTTTTTATGGCACATGTACAGTATGGTTTCTTGTTTTCACTCAGTCTTCTAATTCTCTCTGAGTTGTAACATCTTAGCACACAAGTTAATTTCAGTTAGCAAAATTTAAATTGTAAATTCTTCTCTTTTCTGATATTTTCACATAACTTACTCAAGCTTTAGTTTCTTCAGACTTCAGCTTCTTAACATTTTGCAGTGTAGGGACCTTCAATGAATTAAAAATACAAGAAACCCCCAGCAATTTATTAGGCTCATTAGAAATCCTTGCAAAAAGTTATATGCAGCTACTGTTTTTACTGAAAACATATAAACCAAATCCACTGTTTGAATAAACCGTGGTTTTGACCTGAAATTTAGAACAAACAGATGTACTTATAACCAAAGCAATCTTGTATACACAAGTGTTTAGACACCTAACTCTAATGGAAACAAGTGGGAGTTAAGTTCTAAATACTTCTGTGAAACTGGGCCAGCAGTATAGTAATGGGTTATAGTTAGCATTGGAAAGCTTGGAGTCTTGAACTCCTTCTCTCCATCCTGAGATCTCTAACTGCTGGGAAGCACTATTTATTGTGTACCATGTGCCTTAAAACCAATAAGTGGCAAGAGAAAAGGCATTTTGTCTCCCTCACTGTGAATTCTGTGCATGAACAGAGAAATCAGGGTTTTTTTCCTTGTAATTCATTCTTAATTTTGATACATACAGCCCTTCAGAAATTCAAAACGGAGTCGACTCTTCTGCGAAGAAGATGACAGACAAATAAACACAAGGTCACCCAAAAGAAATCAGAAGGTTGCGATGGTTCCACAGGTACCTACATGTATGGAGATATTTTTACCAAAAAAGGGAACAAGCCTATCTGTGTTAGTTGAAAATTAGAATAGATTTGCTTTTTAAGTTACATTTTTGGTTTATAAATGTTCTTGTGAGGAAAGCTGTTGCTGGGAGTAAGCCGCAATTCAAAACAGATTAATATTTTTCTTCCTTACAACTGGTTTCCTCTGTTTGTTTATGGGAGTACCTGTTCTTTGTGATCCTGGATATGAACATGCAGGGCTAGAAAGGATTCCAGACTAATTGCCCATCATGCTCCTGCAAACAATCGTATCTTGCAGTCAATATAAATTTATTCAGCTTCAGTTAAAAACTATGTGTCTTGTGCTGACTACATCATTTAGAAGGCTGCTATAGGACTTAATGCATCCCAGCAATTAGGAACTTGCTCTAGATTTGTGGCTTAAGTGTATTTATGGCCATCTGTACCACTGTACCTTCTGGATCCTGTAATGGTAACGTACTCCAGTTCAAATAGTTTGTTTTACTACTCCTACACTTGATTGTCTACTCATTGATACAGCATGAAAGAACAGCTGTAATCTCTTTCAGCCTTTATTCGCTATGTTAGACAGGGCAACATCTCTTAGTCTCAATAAATTTGCTCTGTAGTACCTTTGTCATCCAAATCACTTCTCTATACCATCACCTTATGAGCCTGAATTTACTTCAGTGAAAAAGCACTGTTTGAACACTGATCTTATTTGCCTTCTGAACTGTGTGCAGTGTCGAATGGGGAAGACTTAGCACTCGCCATTTTGCTGGGTCCATTTGGCTATAGAGGAGGACCACGACATTTCTCTTCATTACCATGATTTTGTAAGAGTAGGAGGACTTGGATAATGTTCTAAACCCAGTTGGTTTGTGCTTAAATGTCTGATTCAGGAGATCCAATGATTGCTGGATAAATATTCGCAAGGGACTGCAGCTGCCGTAGTTTGCAGATCTTGCTGTCCCACTAGGCTTTGTTTCCTGGAGTTCCAGTGGGAGGAACGGGACCTGTATCTAGTGCAGCAGGAGCCAGCAAGGTGCCTGCCTTATGCTTTATCCTATCATTGCTGCTACTAAAGGCCAAAATACTTTTGAGTGTTTGGGGAAGAATAACAACTGATGGTGGCATGGGGACCCAGTTAAACTAATATCTCAAAAAGCTGTTATTTTTTGCAAGTAAGTTTTTCTTTCTGTCAGTTAAGACAACCATTGCTGGAACAAAATTACAGAATTATTTTTCTATGGTCTTGTTTAAACACAGGCCTAGGTATTATGCATGCAATCGAAGACAGTGTCTTTTCTGCAGTCTGTGAAATAGCTTCCAAATGTAGTTTGAACTGGATTTCTTATGTCCGTGCTAGTTTCTTGCAGTTTTTTAAAAAGCAGATACTCCACTCAAAGCTTTGGCTGTATTATATTCCTGTGCTAGCTTCATCCTCGGCTTAAGAAGAGTGAGCAAGAGTAGAAGCCCCAGTGCAAATGAGGCAGTTGCTGTTGCTGGCATCTGAGCAACATCATGTATGCTCACCTGAGACAGTGTTCAGTGGTGCCTGAAGGTTTGGAAGTCTGTAGGTATTTTAGTGCCATGCTATTGTTAGCAATAATGTAGTTTTCAGTGCTGGAAAATGTTTCTGTTAAAAGAGCCTTGTATAGAGATCATCGATTGTATTGATCCTGCTGAAGTTTGCTGTCTGTTCTGTTTAATTGCATTGCTGATATAATGCACTAAGGGTTGTTATAGATCTGCAACAGAAAAATTGCCATGAAACAGTACGTGCTATTAAAATGTAGCAATTATTAATGTGCAAACTTTTATCAAGAAAATCTGGCTTGATTATTTGAATACTGAAAAATATTAGGCTGTGTTTAACCCTTTCCTTTTTTTTTTTTCCTACATAGAAGTTTAGTACAACAATGTCAACACCGGAAAAGAAAGTGTCACAGAAGATTGGTTTACGGCTTCGCAACCTGCTCAAACTTCCCAAAGCTCACAAGTGGTGCATATATGAATGGTTCTATTCAAATATAGATAAGTATGTCTGCTTTATATAATTCTTTCTTATTAGTATAGAAAAAAGTCATTTTCTGAAATTGAGCTGCACAGTTCCATATATTGGTTAAATACTCCAAAATTTATTCCAAATTATTAGTTACTGAAAATTATTTCATTGTTTTGGTGTTGGGTTTTTTAAATCTTTTTTATCATGAACAATGTATGTGGGTAGTTATTTGGAACTACCAACTTTGGGAAGTTGTCTGTGGAAAGTCTTCCTTCATGGATATAATTTTTTTTTTGTCACATCTGCCTCTACCTGACACAAGGTTTTATTCATAATGTTTTTAGCATCTGAAGCACAAAGTTATCAGAACACTTAGACTTCTTTGAACCATTGGATCAGTGTTATACAGGGGAGATAGGAAGGTGTCTGCTTCTTCATAAGGTGCTGCTTCCCTAAAAGGGGTAAATGTTGATATTGGATATTTCTTCCCCATCATCCTGTTTTTAGTGTGATCACTAACAGAGTTCCAGGCTGTGACTATTCAGCTTTTATCTAGATATCAGCATCCTTCTTGGATCTGCAATTTGTGCATCAGAATCTGTGGCATTTTTAGCCTTAACGGCACTAGCACAGTGGTGTAAATTGTTTAAAAGAACCATTTTAATTTATCATAGTCATGAAAAACAAAAAATTCTGAAATGTAAAAATCATTATTGAATGGAATCTTAAAATTTACACTGATTGACTAATGGATGAAAAACTAGTAATTAATATTCTAAAGAATGGCTTTGGAGTTAACAAGCATTATTTTCCGGAATGTACAAACAAAATAATTACTGTTTTTCCTTCCTATTTTAATCACAATTGCTGTAGCTGTTTTCCTTAACTGGGAAGGCAGTCATAGCAACAGAAAAACATTTTGGCATATATTCATCAGAAGTGGAAAAATTACATGTCCATTTTAGTTAGTTTTAAATTCGTCATCTGTAGAGTTTAATTCCTTTGAAAGAAGTAGTCTTTGCATGCCATTTTCCCTCCTTAATTGAAAAAAAATAAACAAAAAACCCAAACCTTACTTATTTCTAGTAGTAATTTTAATCTGTGACATTTTTAATTATGATTTTTACAACGGTCCAAGAACTTTTAGTTTATTCTTACATAATTGTCTGTGAAACTTTACGCTTGTCAGTAGACTAGAATTTGAGTTTAGCAGGTAATTCTGAAAACCTCTTTGAGAGTTATCAGTGTGTGCTTGTGTGGTGGGTTGACCTTGGCTGGATGCCAGGTGCTCATCAAAGCTGCTCTGTCACTCCCCTCCTCAGGTGGACAGGGGAGAGAAGATGTAACAGGAAGGTCATAGGTTGAGATAAGGACAGGGAGAGATCACTCACCAGTTACTGTCATGTAAAAAATGGACTCGACTTGGGGAAATTTGTTTATTACCAATAAAATCAGAGTCAGATAATGAGAAATAAAACCAAATCTTAAAACACTTTACCCAAATTCCTCCCTTCTTCTTGAGCTCTATTCCCAGTTCTCTACCTCCTATTCCCCAGAAGCACAAGGGAACAGGGAATGGGGTTTGTGGTCAGTTGATCACATGCTATCTCTGCTGCTCCTTCCTGCTCAGAGGGGGGAATCTTGACACTTCTCCTGTTCCAGTGTGGCATCCCTCACATGGTTCACAGTTCTTCATAAACTTCTTCAACATGAGTCCTTCCCACAAGCTGCAGTTTTTCACAAACTGCTCCAGTGTAGGCCCCTTCTGTGAGGTGCACTTCTTCAGTAATCGACTGCTCCACTGTGGGTCCCGCATGGGGTCACAAGTCCTACCAGAAAACCTACTCCAGTGTGGGCTCCTCTCCGTGGGTCCACAGGTTATGCCAGGAACCTGCTCTAGTGTGGGCTTCCCAGGGGTTCACAGCCTCCTTAGGGCATCCACCTGCTCTGATGTGGGGCCCTCCAGGGGCTGCAGGTGGCTCCATGGTGGACCTCCATGGGCTGCAGGGGCACAGCTGCCTCACCATGGTCTTCTCTGCTCCAGCACCTGGAGCACCACCTTCACTGACATTGGCTTGGTGTCTGCAGAGCTGTTTCTCTCAGGTATTCTTACTCCTCTGTCCTGCTGCAATTGTTCAGGGTTTTTTTCCCCTTTCTAACTGTTATCCCAGAGGTTCTACCACCATCACAGATTGGTTCAACCTTGGCCAGCGGTGGATCCATCTATGAGCCAACTGGCATTGGTTCTGTTGGATATAGGAGAAGCTTCTGGCAGCTTCTGGCAGACACCACCCCTGCAGCGTCCCTCTACCAAAACTTTGCCACACAAACCAAATACAGCTTGTAGTACTCGTAAGATATGACCATGTTAAGATATTATAATATTGTTTACTAAGAGACTTCATATCTTTGGAAGAAAAACTTTGATATATGTTGTTTTGAGTGATGTGATCCAGACTTAATGAAAAACTTAAAGTTTAAACCATAGAGCTGTCAGCTGACAAAATATGGCTCACTGTACAAGTCTAAGAATATTTTAATCGAATTGTCTAATCCAAAATTGAAATAATCAATTTAAGTGCCATGTCTACTGTAAGTTTTTAAAATAAAATAATAATAATATAAAATATCTCTACATCTATCATCAGTGGGTATTAGATTATTCAAGCTGTTTCAGTAGGATTCTCTCTATACTGCTGCAAAGGACTGTTTGCTGTAAAGTTCCATTGACTTCAGACACGCAGAGACTTCTTAGGACATAGATACTACTGCAGTGAGATCATAGGCCCTCGGAAGCAGATGCACCTGCACCTTGCTTACACCACATTTTCCGGAGCTTCCAATCTTGTGGATGCTGTGGGTTTGCCTCCTTAGGGACAAGCGATAGTAAAAACAATCAAATAAGATTATCTTTCTCAAAGAAGAAAAAACTCAAACAAAACAGTTGTTTTTTATACAGATATCCTATAGTAGCAACAGTAAATATGGATCCAATGAAACCCTTGTATATGCTTCCTTGTGTTTCCTGGAGCCTCATTGATTGTTCTTTGTGGTTTCCTTTTTACTTCATACCACAGCTGCAGATCCTTCTATTGCAAAACTATTCTCTTCCATTCTTGCCCAAGTCTCCTTATCTCCATGAACTTTTCCTCTCTCCTGCTGCCCAGACACTCACTTGAAAGCAGTGTTGCTTCCAAGATCCTCTTTGTTCTGTGCTTGGGAATATTCCCCTCCAAACCCCTGCACCCAGCAGAGAGTGGAGAAAAGTGGCTTTGTCTAAGATTCAGTTATTCTTTTGTTCTCTCCAGGTGAGATCTATTTCAGTTGCACGTAGTCTTTAATGATTAACCTTCTATTAGATGGGCATATCTGTTGCTGCTCCCTTGTCTCTTCAGCCAAAGAAGGATGTGGTACTACAAAGTAAAAGGCAGTCATAAAACAGAGATACAGGCAGGTCATAGCATCAAAGAGAAATTCATAAGTTGTGTAGGTATGTTCTCTGAACTGTCACTTCTCTAATACTGATCCTCTGCTTCATCATGGAGTCATGGTATGATACAATAAAAGTCTCACCTGTACGGCTCCAGAGAATGACGAGTTGGTTCAATTTCCTGTATTTTGGAACCCTCTGTTGAGAATCTGGGTTACAATTGAGTGAATGGATGAAAAAAGGTACGGTCTTTCTCAGTGTCACATTTGTTCTCCCCTTTATTCTCAATACCTCACTATATCTTTATGGTTTCCTTCAGTGTGTTGCAGTATCATCGTCACACTGCATTGGCTTTGCTGAAGTTTCATTTGGTGCCTTTATGGATGTTACAAAGCAGGATGAATACATATGTTTCCTTTTAGTAACAAGAGATAGGAGCATTTTTAAACATCAGTGATAATGCTCAAAGAGACCAATTGACCTGGAAACTTTCTGGTTTTGTTTTCAGTTGAATTTATTTCAGGTTAAAATTGTTCTTTGAATAGGAGTGTCTTGTGTATGGAACTAATTTATACTATTTTCAATGTATTTCTTATGGTGGATGTTTTTTGGAATCTCATGACAAAAGTTTACTAAGTGCGGTTAAGATAGGACCAATTATGTTTCAACAGGCCACTATTTGAAGGAGATAATGACTTCTGTATATGCCTGAAAGAATCTTTTCCAACTTTGAAAACCAGAAAATTGACAAGAGTAGAATGGGGGAAAATCAGACGATTAATGGGAAAACCACGGAGGTAACTTTTTCTTTCTTTCTTTTCGAATTACTACATGTAGTTTTGATGTTACTGGAATTGTTCCTTTTAAAGGAATTTTGCATTCAAGGAGTAAAACAAAAAAATAGCTTAAGAGTAGTAAAACATACTCATTTTTTTGAAATGTTTTCTGAGCACCCCCCTCTCCCCTGCCCCGTTCCTTATAGGCACATGTCCAGTCCATGAAGTTCTCAGGAGCTGAGAAATGTTCTCTTCACACTCTAGATAACTGAGTGCCCAAGCTAGGATGTGTTGAAGTTGTTATTGTATCTTCTATGCTGCAGTGCTTCCTGGCATGGAAGACCAGCCAATTTTTCACTAAGGTTTTATTCTGCCTATAACTAGCTCTTCATGTGGAAAACAACTGCACGTTTTCATCTCAATGATTTTATTATTATTTTTAAACTGTTTTGTAGATCCTCAGCTTTTCCTGGCTTGGCTACCAAAACAGAGAGAGGGTAAAGTCACACATAAAATATTGTACATTGTAGAGAAGAAGCTAGAATTGACTAAAGGGCATAGTTTTTTCTATAATTTAGAATTTTTAATTCTGAAACCTGCTGATTCAGTTCAGCCTTTTCACAGAATCTATGCAATTTAACCTAGAGAAGAGAAGGCTAAGGGAGGATCTCATCTTTGTGAGTGCATGTCTGAAGGGAAGGCATAGAGAAGACGGGGCCAGGCTATTTTCAGCATTATCTGGAGACAGGACAAGAGGCAATGGGCACAAGTGAAGTTGTAGGATCTCCATCCTTAGAGGTACTCCAAGGCTTTCTAGACATGATCCTGGGAAGCCTCCTGTAAGTGATTCTGGTGGAGGGATTGGAGCAGATGACCTCCAGAGGTCCTTCCAAACTCAATCATCCCTGTCATTGTGTAAGATCAGGAGAAAAATGTGTAAGTAGTGTTTCATAAATAAACCAACCTTTTATTTGCAAACACTAAAGCACTGAATCCATTTCATAGAGCATTGTACTGAATCAGATTATATTTTGCCTGATGAAGACCATTTCGTCATCTGTACCTATAAACAACTTGACATAAGTAAAAGTTGTCAGTCACGGGAAGGCAGCAGAGCCAACTTAAAAACAGCTCCTCTTGGAAAGATGTTCATGTCATTTGAGCTTAACTGAGATAGCTTTTCATTCTTCTATTGTCATTCTTCCCTCTGAGAGGGAAATTTGTGTATTTAGAGGTTAAATTATCAGTTACTCATTTGAGTAATTTTTAAGTAATTTTCTTTTGCCAAAAGTGGGTACCTCTGTAATAGATCAGCTCACCTCATTCAGCAGTCTGATGGATCATTGATAAAACCTCATAGAATCTTAGAATGGTTTGGGTTGGAAGAGACCTTAAAGATCGTGTAGTTCCAACAAGGGTTGGGGGCAGGAAGTGTCATGGGAAGGGACACCTTCCACTAGACCAGATTGCTTAAAGCCCCATCTGACACGATTAGGTTGAAAACTTCCTTCTGGTTTTGAGTTTGTTTTGTTGTGGGGTTTTTTTGGTTGTTTTTGGTTTTTTTTCCTTTTTTTTTTTTTGCCATGAGGCAGTGTTTTTTGTTTTGATTTGGTTTTTTTTTTTTTGCTTAGCTGTCATACGGTTAGTTCTTTTAAAAGAGAGACTCATGATCAGGGAACCACAGATCTAAATGGGCAGGAGGGTGTTTTGTCTGAATTCTGAAGTAGAGGTATTTCACTGGATAAAGAGTTTGATTGTTTGTTAACCAAAACTTCATGAGTTCTTGCTTTTTAGCAACATAAAATAAGCATTCCTGTTTGCTTTTTATTTCTTTACTAATTGAAAAAAAACCTTACTGGGAGTCATTTTTAAGATGTCGTAAGAGGTCTTTGGCCTTAGTTTTAAAAGATTTGAATTATTCTAAATCATTGGAATCCTTTTTCAAGACAATTTTCATCTACCTTTAGAGCAAAGATTTTTTTATGTTATTGTGATGTTAGAAATTTCTTCTGTCCTCATCATATGGAGGTAAGGTAAATATCATGTCAATACTGATATCTCCCCATGAGGGATTAAAAAAAATTAAGACATTTTGCATCCACGGTGTTGATGGCAGAGGATAATAGTGTCTCTGTGATAGCTGTCCACATGGTTGTCCTCTTTTTTTTAAAATTTTGTTTTAAATATATTGTAATATTTTCTTTTGTCTGCTACTACTTTAAATGTCCTATCACACATCAACAGTGTGTTTGATTGGCACAGCAGTATTCATCATGAGAGCCTGCAAAGCTTGTAAGATTCCGGTAGACTGTGGGGAAAGATATGCTCCAAGAAAAGGAAGAGGTAATAGTTAGTCTTGTGTACTCTGTTTAAACTTAATTGGGCCTGTGAAATAGCAATGGATATGAGTGAAGCTCAGATATGCTTGTCCTGCCACTACATGATGATTCCTCTGTTGGTTCAAATTCTCACGACCAAAGTAAAAACTGGGAATGTTCAACCTCTTAGAAAGTCTCTACAGAAAATTAATGAGATTGCAGTTTTGATCTGTACCATAGTTTTAATCTTCATTTTTTCATAGGATGACATAAAGATGAGATAACCTTTATTAAATGCATTTGGGGAATGTGGGGTTGGAGGTTTCCTTTAAGAGAAGCCAGAAATATGTTGCAAATACTTTGTACATCTATAATCTACAGCATTTGGAACAGAGACTTTTTAAGAAGATCTGAGCTAGCAGCAAAACAGTAGTTGCTGTTGTAGGGACCTTCCTAGGTCAGTGATTAGTATCAACATTTGGATTTGTATTTCTAAGAGCATGGGTCAAAGAACACCTAGTGTTTCTGATACAAGTCCCTGGATGTGATTAGAAGGACTAATATTAAAGTCTGTTGCCTTCTTTTTTTTTTTGCCTTTTCTGTAGTCTTGCTGTAGTTAGCCAATGGAATTGAAAAGTTCTGACCTGTATTTTGCAACTTGATATTCACAGCCCACAGCAACCATTATTTCACACCTCTTCCTCCCCAGTGGTAAATATGAAACAAATAACATTGTTAAATGAGAATATCCAAGTAAGCTCTGCATAAGTCTCCCAACCACCATCCCTCTCTCTCTACCATATCCCTTTCTAGATTTTAAATTCCTGATGAGGACCAGTAGGCAATACACAATTCCAGGTAAACACATTCTGCTCTTCAGTGGTGAACTGGTGAGTGGGACATGCACCTATGGTTGCTCCATCTACAACACAGTTTCTAGGCTATACAAAGACTATGATGACTTTTGTGGTGATTGTGATTGGAAAGCCTGATACAGGAACCTTCAGTGCAGTGCATTACTACATGTACCTGACAAAAGCACCTCACAGCTTCAATTCATTCTTGCTTATTTTTTTTCCATGTCTTGCTTAGGACTAGGATTTCATTGCGTTAGCACTGGACACTCTGGACAAAACAGGTGGCCTGTGCAGCTTAGAATTTAGAAAACATGTATAAGATAACAGGCAATTGATGTCTGCATATAGTGTGAAACTGCTGGCCAGTATGAAAGAAAATGGTCCCAAGATCCTGGTGGCTTAGTGTTTTACAGTCTTCTTATACACACTGCAAGGAAGAGAAACTGTGGCTTTGTGGAACTCTCCCAGTGAGGGGTACACAGAAGAAAACATAAAGATGTTTGTTTCAGTATATAAAAAGCAGACTTGAAAATAGGACCTGACTGCTTAGTACTGAGTGGGAAATAACTGAGGAAGATCTTAAAGGGATTTAAATCAGAAAATAATTTACAGTGTAGAAGGGGAAGCGAGCAGAGGAGTTGAGTTGACAGTGTCTTCTAAAATAACCTCATAAAATAGAATTTCTTATTGATCAGTAATCAATATGTAACTGTATGACTTCCACAGAAAATGTTTAAATTGCATTTGACTACAGTAAAGCAATTAACAAAGGTAGCAAATTATTTGATAAATAACTGCTTCTGCAGTTAAGCAGACCTACAGTAGTATCTGTCTGCCTTTTTAAAATTACTTCTTTTATTGCAATAGGAATGAAAAACCTTTTTTTAATATGGAATGAGAGATAAGATTGAGTCCTTAATGTCTTTATGCTTTCAGTGTCTCCCTCACGCGTCATTCCTATTCAGCGTGTTAAAAGTGAAAATTAATAAAACCAAGTAAGGGCCTTGGGAATGAGTCTTCCATCTTTTATATTGCATTTTAAGAACAACCCTCCCCTCCCAAAATGGGGAAGGGGACTGCTAGAGATTATCTGATTTTACCCAAGATCAAAAAAAGTTGTACTTTTGCTACGATCAATCTCAGAACAGTTAATTTGCATTATAGAGATTTTGGGGCTGAGTTGTACTCTGCACAGGTGCAAGGACATGAGACAGAATTGCCCCTTTTTGTGCTAAGTCTAGTGTCCTTTCATACTAAGTTAGTTTATTTGAGCTAAGAAGCACATATGGAAGTGATCTCCTGTGTTCCAGTAAGTGTTGACAGCCAGGGATCTCACGGTCCGTCTTCCTCACATGCATTGAGCTGGCATCCAGAGTAGACTGGGTGTGGGACCTGCTTTCGCTTTGTTGTGACACCAGATGGATCCCTATAAGCAGAAAAAGTCCTAAAAAGTTGTACTCTTCAGATATACTGATGCAACAGCTAGTATTCTTGAGTATTATTTTTAAATAAACTCTTATTTTAGGAGTGATAATTCTGAAGAGTGATACTGTCTAAACACATTCAATGAAATTCTTTTCCCTTGAACACATCACCCCAAGTTTTTTCATTTTCTCTCACTGATTTGTAAACTGTGCCTATTTATGTCATGTGCCTTCGCATATGTATGTTTTCAGTGCTGAAGTTAAGTACAGTTTTACCTAATTGTATTATAGGTGTTCCTCTGCATTCTTTGAGGAGGAGAGGTCGGCGTTAAAACAGAAACGGCAGAAAATAAGACTTCTGCAGCAGCGGAAAGTTGCTGATCTTTCACAGTTCAAAGATCTTCCAGAAGAAATTCCGTTACCGCTTGTAATAGGAACAAAAGTTACAGGTAATTTCTTAAAAACAAACAAAAAAGCAGCCAAGTGTTTTGCAAAGATTTTTAGTAAGCCATAATACACTTAAGTGCATGTAATTAAATTAAATGTAGGACATAAAAAAGTGTATGGGTTTTTGTTAGTTCATTGAGAGGGTGCTTGTGAGGTTTAGCTATTGTTAGTGAAACAGTGATACGGTTTTGAGGTACAAACTTAGTAGGGTTTATTATTTCTGCTGTTCAAACTGTGGGGTTTTTTAATGTCTGATATATCTACCAAATTTTGGAGAGAGAGAGATGCTTAAATGCAAAATAAGGAGTGCTGCCTGAGAGTTTAAAATCTGACCTAATGTAAAACTTGAACTTTATTTTTCCATAAATATAAAAATACCTGTTTTGAAACAGATATACAATTGATACTGCATTGTAGTTGGACATGAATGCTGAACATGATATTGCCTTACTGAAGAAACTTACACATAGCTGAGGAAGGAATATTGTTAAAAACATTCTTCAAGTTTTGTCTAATTTTATAAAAACTTGAATTCCTCCCTACTGTCTGATTATGGTTGAGATGCTTTTGACATAAGCATCTCCCACTCAGGCCACTACTGTTCATTGCTTTTTTTGTGTTCAACAACATTGCCCTTGATTCTTGCTGAAGAGCAGGAGTGCACAACACTGCCTCTCCCCACTCTCCTAGAGCTGTATCCCTGAGCTGGGTTCCACATTGTCTTTTACTAAGTATGCAGTCATCAGAGGAGGTGATCAGAGAGAAGTGCTATGCAAAATCATCCGGAAATTGACTTTTGCCTGCAAAATCTGTCTGTCAGAAGGTATTGGGTATTAAACAGTGGGGGTTTCTTAGCCATAAGTGTAGTGTTAAGGGTTAGATTTGGGGAATATTTGACCTGCAGACTTAAATTTGACAAAAATTTGGGTAATATTTTTATTGCTTTTGCTTTTCTTTTTTTTTCCCATTTAATCTGTGGGTTTTAACTATACGTATGAAGGATCACTTGCAAAAGGTGTATTAAGTCTATTTTTCTCAATGGTGTCAGAACATTATAGTGTTTGGTTTCTTGTTGTGTTTTTAAGCACGTTTGCGAGGTGTCCATGACGGTCTGTTCACTGGACAAATAGACGCTGTGGACACCCTTAATGCTACCTACAGAGTGACTTTTGACAGGGCAGGTCTTGGAACACACACAGTCCCAGATTATGAAGTTCTTGTAAGTATAAATGACATGTTCTCAAAGTAGCTGTAGTAAAAAAAAAACCTAAATTAAAAAAATCTACAGTGGTATGCTTTAATTAAAAATATTATACCCAGGTGGTATTGTCATAAAGTAGAAACAAGCATAACAGATGCATGGGAAATTCCAGGATAATGAGCTTCTGCTGTTAATGGTTTTACAGAACAGGATAACCCTATTGATAAAAACATAATGGCTTAGGCTGGAATAATTTACTAGACCTACTATTACATGCTATTATAATAGCCTGAGTGCAATATGAAGAAATATATGAAGTGTAAGATCCGAAAGAAAATTCTGCAATGGGATCCTACCAGGATTTGCAGAAAATGTTCAAGAAAACCTGGCCCTCTTTAATTTGCCAAAGTCAGGAAAGGCCTGTGGTAGTTGCAAGCAACTATTAAGAGTTGATTGAACTTCATTTTGAAACTTCTTGTGCTAATGAAGCTACCTGGGAGGATGTTGTTTTGGTCAAACAATTTGGGATGATTTCCTGGCTTATAGGCTTTTGTACCAGTTTATGGGATCTAGGAATTGTTCCTGCCAAACAGTCTGGTCTAGACTGCAAGGTTTTAGGAGGACCTCATGTTCTTTTGTATCTTTTGTAGTGTTGAATCTGTATAATTTAGAGTCTCTAGTCCCTGTCATGATCTGACTTTGGAACCTCTACTGGAATCCTGTTCAGTTGTGATTTGTCTGCAACTTGCCAGTAGAATTCTGGGAAATATTCTTGGCAGGTTTTATTTGACATGATGCTGGAACACTTTGAAAACTCCAGTGGTGGAACAGGATTTTGAAGCTCCTGCCTAGACCAAAAGGAAAACATTAATCTTTTTATGTTGTTGGGTTGAGGTGTGGATGGGCATGGCTCATCCAGACTTTGAAAGGTATGTAAAATTAATTAATCTGACACTTGAGGTATATGCCTCCTTTTCCTGTCTTCCAGAGCAACGAGCCTCATGAAACCATGCCAATTGCTGCCTTCGGACAGAAACAACGGCCTTCAAGGTTCTTTATGACTCCTCCCCGATTGCCATACACACCTTCACTCCAGTCTCCAATTACAGTAGGTTATTTTTTTCATGTATTAATCATTGAAGATTTTTCGATACATGTTGAAACTGTTACCTTCAACAGTTTTTGAGAATAATTTTCTGAGGTTATTCAGCAAGATAAAAAGGTTAGCAAAACTCTCTAAAACTACGCTATTAATTGAAATGTTTTTTCCTATACAGGATAGTGATCCTTTATTAGGACAATCTTCGTGGAAAAGCAAAATTTCAGGCACAGATAGTGAAACACTAGGAGGCTTTCCGGTAGAATTCCTCATTCAGGTGGTAAGTGGTATTGTCCTTTTTGTGTTTATTCTGCCAATTCTTCCGCAGTTAAATGACCTTCTGTTGATTTATGACAGTAATATCCAAATTAACTTTTGAAGAGATGTTAATAATATTTGTTTTTATTCCCTCCTTGGCCCCTTCTTAATTTTCTCTCTTGTTCATAACCTTTGAAATATGCTGCTCTTCAGACCACAGGGGTCTCCAAAAGTGTCTTATTTTTCCCAGCTCTACCCCTTGCTCTTAAAAAAAAAAAAAAGACATTATTTCTACCTGCAAACATTGTGCTGTGTTTAGACTCTTTTATTTATTTAAAATATACTGGCATTGTGCAAACAACATTTGCCCGTGTGCATTATCATACATTGTATAATGCGATATTTTATGTTATGTAATGTCCTATCCTGTTGGAGAAGAAAAGCAGCACTCATTTCCCTGCAAGCAAACATACCATGCTATAGATAAGAAAACACTTTTTTGTCTTCACCTTAATGAAATAATTCCTCCATGATTATTGTACACCAGTTCAGAGGAGTGCAGACAATAAATTTTAGAAAGCTGAGGTTCATTGAATATCAAAACTCACTGAAGCAAGTTACTTTCCAGGATGATGGAAGAATGTAATTGCTCGTGTTGGTGTAGCTTAAGTGATTGAATTCCTTAACAATGAAAGCAGTTTTGAACATGCCAAACGAGATTGGAATGACCCACATTTAAAATGTTAAGAACTGAGAAATAATATTGCTGAATGCCTCCCAGATTTTAAAGTCTGTGTAATTGGTCAAAAGAATAAAGTTGTGTGTGTAGCTCACATGACACATTAATATTTGGGTCACTGAGCATAATAAATTTTATTTGACAGAATCATCTTAATTTTTTCTTAGGGAAAACTTCTATGAAACTTATTTTGAAAAATGTGGCTAGGCATCTAGCTTAGCTAAGAAAATTTAACATAGGTATAGTTGCAATAAGGTTAATTATGCTAAAAATTGAAATACTCAAAAGATATAGTTTAGCAGCATAAACAAAGACTGTCTGCAGCCTATCCTTCTTGAGTCACTGTGATCAGTGAAACTGGGTAACTAAGGTGTATTGAGCTTTACAATTACTTTGTATATTTGAAATGTGAAAATGTGTGATTCCTCAGTCACGTTTGATTGTATATTTTACTCATTATAAAGAAATCTGAGTTTTACAAGTATAGGCCTCTTGATTGTATTACAAATGGTGGCATTTTACAAAGATACCACATTAATATGTATTTTTCTTGAAGATTTTAAAAATATTTTGAACAAAATCAATCCACGGATTTTTGGCATTTGTTTGCATGAGCAACTTGAGACCTCATGCACCTTTTTGACAAAGAATCCCGAGGCTTAAACATTTTTGGAAGGACTTGAAGCATCATTTTTAAGCATCAATTTTTTTTATTAGAAGTTTGAGGAGGTACTGAAATTTGATGTTGTGAAATACATGAGACTGGTGAATATTGATTGTTGATTGCACTGCATTCACCAGACCAGATGTATTTTTATGTTAAAGGCTACTGCTCAGGATGTTCTAGCCTTTCTTATATACTGATACCTAAAAGAAGTTAAAGCCCTTTTTCTGCTTTAATGGTGAGTCAGGAAGTAAATGATCAGAAAATGTTTGATTTGAAGAACTACTGGAGAACTACTGCCAGGCAGTTATTTATGAGACCATGAAGAAACAATTTTATAGGAAAAATTTTGGACAAAACAGAAAAAATGCAGCACACCTTTAATAAGGTTTCAACTCAGCCCCTTAGTTCTCTTTTACAGGTTTTGAAATTAATTTGAAAGAAAAGCAAGTGTATCCAAAATCATGTTCAGCCACTGACAAATAAATGTTAGGGATATTCTCTTTACATATAACTTGCAGTTGTAAGCAAATATTGGGACTTGTAACAACTATTTTAATCATTGTTCTTTCTAAAGCTTTATATGAATTCCTACATGTTTACAGTTTGATATCAGAGACTGAGTTTCTGGGTTTTACTGTGGACAGATGTGTTACGAGAAGATTGGCTCAAAAATTAACATCATGATATTAAGAATAAAGTCAACAATAAATGAGTAATAAATTTTAAAAGAAGTCTTTCATGCTTAGTTCAATATATAATTGTCATGGTTTTAGCAAGGCCCAAAATCCAATTCTGATTCCTAGCCCCCCACCCACATCTCAACCCCATGTGAGATGGGTTTTCCAGACAAAAACACGAGACTCAATATGGGGGAAGGAATATATTACAAAGACTATACAAATAAATACTTATATTATAATACATTGCATATAATCTTAACTCTATATCTATCTCTACCATGACAATAATATTTACAGTGGGCCAAATCTCTTCTCTCTCCAAATAAAAGTCCAGGAGAGAAGAAGAAGAAAAGACCCCTTCCAGTCTCTGAGCAGCAGGGCTCTCTAGGCAGCAGGCTCTCTGTGTCTTCTCTTCCATGCAGCAGAAACAGTTGCTGGCTCTCTGCCAGCACACACGAGGGGGTCTCCAAGCCCCTCGGCCCTCCGTCCTCAAACGGGGGTCTTTCCGTGGACTACGTAACCCCAGACAAGGTCGTTCCACCACGGTCATATCACGAAGCACGGGGGTCTTCGTGACAGTCTGGTATCTTCAGGGGAAATCAAGCCCCTGTGCAGAGCTCCCATGCTCTGCCTCAAAGATGGCTGCCAGCTTCTCTGAAGCTGGAGCAGGGGGGGCCAAGGTCACCCCCCACACACACACATTCCTTCGGCCGTCCTGGCTTATCTCTCAGGAGGCCATGAGCTTCCTAGCTCCTCTCAGCAGTGCATACTGCACTTTAGGACTCCTCTCAGTCCACCACCCCCTCCTGTTTCTCGGAGGGGTCTCTAGCGAGTTTGGGGGTTTTGGTTTGAGCCAGTTCTTACCCTCCGAAACTCTCTTCCTGCTGCTGGCTCGGGTCTCTTGTCCTGCTTTTCTGCTGTTGGCTCTTCTCTTTTCTTTCTCTTTAGACAGCTCTCTGTCTGCCCTGGTTGCATACTGGCTTATGTTGTTCTTTTGGTCTTTATCAGTTGGCTCTTTGCCACTGTTCTTCGGACACTGCTGTCTCCGCTGCTGCTCCGTCGCTGCTCTCAGTGTCTCCCACTTCTACTTACAGGGGAGAAAACTCTCCCAGCTCCTAGCCACAGGCACTCAGTCCAGTCTGACACTGTTCTGAGTCCCTGCAGCCCCCCAACCAGGGGCTGGGGGGGGCAAAGGCCCCCAAGGGGCCGGAGCCCCTTCTCCTCGTGGCCTCTACAACATGGCCACCTCTTCTTCTTACCACAAGAACCACTGCTTCTCTTCCAGTCTCCAGAGATATGTTTATATTTTGCAGGAGCACTGATTGGTCAAGCCCCAAGGGTCACCACCCCCTGGGGGTTACCACTTTCAGCTTCAGGGGGAAAACCTGGCTCAAACCACTACAACACTGTATCCTTAAATATTTCATAAGCTGTATGAGCAGGTCATACAGGTCTAATCAATAGATTACATTCTTACATTCTAGTCAACAAATTTGGAGGATGTTTTTTCCAAGCGCTCAGCTGGAGGGTTTTTTTAGTTTTGGTTTTGGGATGTTTCTCCTCTTCTTGCCTCCTCTGTTTTTTTGTTTTGGGGTAAAAAAATTCTATTTGAAAGGAAGCACTCTAGGACAAAGCAGATGTTCAGCGGGTCGCTGCGTGTCCAGTAGAGGGAGTGTTTTAATGCAGCACGGGCAGAACAGTGACCTGGTGTCTGCCTGATCACTGTGGGGAAAAGAGGGATTTTCCCAACTTAAATACAGGAGGAACAGCCTGAAAATTGATACTGGATTTTTGACTGTTTTCTGCTGATGAAAATTTTGAAAATACTGCATAGTAAGTTATCATGCACTTCATTTTGAAATGCTTGTATTTTCTGACTAAAAAATGAAATCTTAAGTACAAATCTAAACATACTGGTAGGATTGTTCCTTCATCTTTCTTAATGTGGAAAACCATTGTACTAAAAGCTTGTTTCTGGTTTACTGAGTAAATAAAGTACCCTTACTTACAAGAAAAAACAGGATGAGTTATACTGAAAATAGAGCTGTTATAAAGAAATTTTTCAAGGAAAATAGGGATGGATAGAAAGCATTCACAGATAACACTGGCAAATGAAAATGGAAGTTTAATTAATAAAATGTACCTCTGAGAGAAAGTTGGTGGATATGATAGATACAGTGAAAGGTCAGAGTTTCTTGTAGAAAGAATCAGATTATCTTGATTACTGGAGTATATCTGGGAATAGGATGAATATAATATAAAATCCAAGCTCATCAGCTGAACAACCAGGGCTATGTATCCTTGAGTATGTTGGGACCTCAAAGTAGAAGTGAAGCAGAGAAGTGAATGCTTTGCAAATTTGGGGAGCAAATAATATATTCTACTTAATTTGGGGACTCAACAACTTCATGAAGGAGAAAACTTGCTAGGCAATTGCTGGATGGTGACAACAGCAAAGCTTGACAAGTAACTTTTGGCAGCAGTGGCAGATGGTGAACAGTGCTTTCCTTCCTCCCAGGTGTTTTATTGGCAACGTGCGCGCTTGTGTGGTGTGTTAGAAACTTATTCAGAGAGATAATCCATCTCACAAGTAACAACTTTAAACCTTTCTTGCCTTTTCTAAATTTATTGGTTTGTCATTATCAGTTCCGTGATTGGGTTCTTCATGCAAAATTCGAAGTGCAAAAAATACAGGTGGTGGCTCAGCACAGACATTGGGGGACAGCACAAGGACAGAAATGAGCAGCTGTAATAGGGAGGATGACAACCAATGCACTATTGCCTGTGATTCTGACCATGGCTCATCATCAGTTCATCACATGCATCTGGCAAAATATTTGTGGTAGAAAGAAAGAAGTATTGATGCCATTTTACAGATTTAGTTCACAGGTGTGTCATTTAGAATACTGGTACAGGCTTCCTGTGCTCACAGCCAGGAAAGATGACAGTGAGTGGATAAAAAGATACAGAAAGGGCCACAGAAATTTAGGAGATGAAGAACTTTGTATGGGAGTGGAGCCTGGAAAGGATTGTGTTGTGATTAGTGTAGTGAAAGAACAGTGGAGAAGAGATGCTTTTATTGTCTCTGAATGAACAGGGATAAATATAAGGAGGGAGAGCTATATTTAGCTGAAAAACAGCTTTGGCTGTTTGGCAATTTGGAACAAATTGCTATGAAGTGAAAAAGAATGCATTTAGCATAGAAATTCCCAGAATATTCCTCAACAGCTGAAAGAGGTCCTGGAAAAATTTTCTATTACAATTTGTGAGGGTGCAAGCAACCTGGCTGTGTTAAGACTGAACTTGAAAATCAACAAAAGGGATTATATGTGAGTCATATATATGTTGAACTAGAGGTTCCTATTTCTCCCAGTCGTGTGTTTTACTACTAGGATGCAGTTTAACCCCTTTGGAATTTATGAAACCCGAAATCTTGGCTCTGTTTACATCAGTAATAAAACCGTTGCTGGTTGTAGTGGAGCGAGGATTTCTCTCGGGGCCCTCAAGTATGAATAGTTCTAGGAGGGATGTGTGTGTTTGAGAGCCCTCCCAGTGATTTCCACTTCAGCCTACTAGGTCCCAAGGGCAGGGGAAACAGGGTATTCCCATTATGAAAAAGGGAAATGGAAAGCCAGAATTGTTCTGTATAAAACAGACCCAATCCCTATACCAGGTTTTACTGCAAGGGTTTACACAAAGGGCTGGTGCTCAGTAGAGGGTACAGCTGAGAACAGGCCAAGAACTGTGTGAAAAAAGGGGTGATAAGGTAAGTGATATTAATTGTAGTACATGACCGTAACACCCTTTGCTCTCCTTCAGGCTGAAAAAAAACCACCAAAAAAAGAAGATTCTTCAGCCTCTTGCTGGCCATAAATTATGTTAGCCTTCCTAGAGGGAATTTGAGCTGATGGATTTTAGCACTCATCAATTTATGGCACTTGGAAATGCTTTAAAAATATCTAGAGAATCCATCATTTAATTCTGATTAATTTGAATTTCTGCATCTTACCTTGATGAACCACTGAGAAATAAATTTTAAATTATGGAAGAAACACATATGGTTTTTTATCTTTAATTTCTATGGCGTTTCAAAACTGCTTAAGGACCTATTCATTCTAAAAATAGTTCCTTTGTTTTAGACCAGGTTATCGAAAATCCTTATGATCAAGAAGGAACACATCAAACAATTGAGAGAGATGAATACAGAAGCAGAAAAGCTGGTAAGAATGTTCTCTTTTCAATTCTTAAAACAGGATATGCTTTAACAGCTGATGCAAATAGATACAATTAGAAGTAGAGTCTAGATAAAATCTGTATTTGATTGCTTCCTATAACATGAAATTTTTTTCTTATTTGTTTAAAGACAAGTCAGAGAGGTCAGTAGTTTCAAATATGATTCTCCTTTGAAAGCATTTGGAAACTGATTAATGTTAATATCAGGATAGCACTTGTCAGTTGACACATAAAGTAAGGAAATACTATGTACTTTGAGAACGTGGGGTACAAGTTTATCTGGTAAGACATTCATCATAATATTACTTTGCAGATGTTGGATGCTTATTTTCTTAGCTTTCTGACTAAAACAATTACTCATTTCAGAGATTTTCTATGTAAAGCTCTGACTGCCCTTGACCAGCATTTAAAATTACAGTACCAGAGCAGCTACAGCATAATTAGGAGCAGCAGCAGAATAGTTTTTCTTGCTAACTTTATCTAATCAGCAGTCAGTAAATCAAAATGATAAGAATGCCTCGTCTACCACCCATGGCTATAAATCAACTTGAAAGCAGAAAGATATCAGTCTCAACCTTCTGCCAGCACCCATTCAGGCTGTTGTCTCTGCAGCGTACAGACAGAAGGCTAAAGGTTTGTGGAGAGGAAGAGGAACCCTTTTATTTCTTGAAACCAAAATGCTGACTTCTTTTTTCATGTAAAATATTTGAATGTTGAAGGTTTTGGTTTATTGTGGTAAGATTTCTGTGTTTGTCCCTTCAATGGTCATATGCATGTGTGCATTCTGTTACTCTGCTTCCTACTGCCCCATCCCCATGTCTCTGTAATTATCTTGTTTTGTGCTGTGATGAAGCCCTTCAGAACCTTGTTGTCATTTCAGTGACTACATTATTTTTCTTGTGCATCAAATGTTTTGTATTGTAATTTTGTGTGTTAGTAACTAAAGGAGATGCAAAGAGAAGTAAGATTAAAACATACCATTGCAACCTGTAACTGTGATAATGAAAAAATTACCAACTCTTCTCAAAATAAAAGAATTTTTGTTTTTTCTTAGATATTGTTACTTTTGCGTAGATAAGGAAATCATAGGAATGACAGTAGCCTTCCTCTGACGAGAACCCAGATGTTATCACATCTTTCAGCTACTAAATCATAAATTAACTGTATTGTTATTTTTCTTGGTCTTCTTATTCTATAAAATTGAAAGAGCAAAAAAGAGCAATGGGGAAGAAGGGAATCTAGAAATAAACATTAAATTTGATATATTTTAGGTCAGTTGTAGCCTGGATAAGGACTTTGAGATACTTTTGAAATTCTTCCCTGCTCTATTTCCTTTGTAAATCAGCAATCATAAAACAACCTCTGTTACTATTCAAGGCTACACTGATAAAAATAGAGGATGTGATACCTTCCTATTGGGCCGTATTCTTAGCCTGTCTTCTAATCCTCTTTGTCCCTTGGCAATCCCATCTACACTTGTGCCACTGTATATGTGTTGTTTCTCCTTTAAAATATATTTCCTTTGAACAAGAATCTTTTTCTGGCCCAAATACATTTCAACATCAATAGCATACCCGAAAGTGAATAAAATCAAATCCTTTGAGTTCGTTCAGGTGTACACTTTGTCAGACTTTGATAATAATTCATACAATTGTGATTTGATAATTGTTAGAGTAAAACCACTGTTTGGTTTAAAGTAATCCTTTTATTAAGACTTTTTTTTTTAACGACTGATTCAATATAGAAATAAATGGAACTGACCAAAATTAGAACAGGTACTGAATGTAGTCCATTATTATTTGGCAATAATAATAAATCTACATGACTCATGGGATGCCTTCAGAGGAGCTATTAATGCATAAAACTGCACATTTTCTATTTCATTTTATTGACGTCACTATACAAGTCAGGGTTGCAGGCTATAAACAAATTACCATGTACATATAACAGTAAACATTTGGATAAACAAATATAAATAAAAGGATGGACAGTTCATTTTTTCACTTGATCTGCAATAAAGACAAGGTAGAGGTAATGCTGGTTGTTTCAGAGAAGCATCTAGATGTGACAGACAGAGGTATTACTTGTTTCCATATACTGAAAGCCATCCATCTGTTTTCTGATGGTTCAGCTGTTTGTCCCTGTTTCCAGATCTTGGATCAGAAACAGTGCTGGTGCTGAGAAATATTCCTTTCACCATCACTAGCATAGAATGCCCTTAACCTTTCCTGATAGGGAATCCACAATTGTCTGCAGCTTTCACGGTTAACCTGGAGTAGTCTCTAGTCTGCTCTAGGGAAGCTGATCATTGGAGAAGGTCTGAAAGTTACATTTTTTTTATCCTGTGTTCCAGAGCTGCAGAAAGTGTGTCGAATTTATGCTCGTTTCCAGTGAATTCTGAAATTATGGTGTTAGTTTAAAGCCCTGCTAATTTGGTATTCAGACTTGTAAATCCCTGAGGATTGTTTCAATGATTGTTTAACTTTGAACTGAACTGATAACTGAAACCTTGATTTTGAGTTTCTGACAAGGATCCTCCTGATGAAGGCTCTTGGCTTTGCAATTTGGTTTATCTTGTGCTGTAAAATCTATAGCTACAGGTTTGATTGTATGAGATACCTGTATCTCAGACTAGTGGCTGGAAGTACATCCATCTTATCTTGCAAAAGGTATTTTTTGGAGGAACTTTTATAATATGTTGTATGTTTTGTTTCAATTTCATAAATATCACCCAAACAACATCAAGCTATATTCTGAAAAGAGTATAAGAAAAAAAGCACTGTATTTTGGTATTTATTATTTTTGTGGGAAATTGTGCTTACAAAATACTTAGTTAACAAATGTAAGCTCTAGTAACTCTCTTTTTTGGCAGAACTGTTAGCTATAACAGAAGGTGTGTAGCACTGAGTCATCCTCAAGTGACCACTAACTTACTAGCCAAATGTGCCTCCTATCCTGCAGCAGAGGTGGTCGAGGCCATATTGTCCTATACTGTTCCCTTGCTGACAGGCTGACAGAATAGTTTTCTGCTGAACCAGTAGAGAGAAGCCATGCCCAACTATTGGAGAAATAAGCAGGTCAGACCACCATCATCTTCTGTAGCATTTACCACCATAGATTATCATAGCACTTTTAAGAAGAGAATAAAAGCGTGGTTGTTACCTACACACTTGTCACTTGGAATTATAAATAGTAATATTGCATTTTAATATTTTGTATGTTAACTTCTTTTATTAAACACTGGGATTTCAAATATCTCAGTATTGTTTTCCAATGAAAGTTCCTTTTGATGAGTTCCAAATTTATAAATGTTCAGTACTGCATCAACTTTAATGTGCTTTGTGTTTTCCACAGAAATCCTATTCCATGCCAATAAGCATTGAGTTTCAGAGGAGATACGCAACTATTGTTCTAGATCTAGAACAACTCAACAAAGACTTAAATAAAGTTTTGCATAAAGTTCAACAGTATTGTTATGAGGTAAGATTTTGCTTAATCTAAGTAGAAAACAGAATTCCTTGGGAATAGGGCATAGGTGGGGGTCACTTTGAAATGAAACTGTTAGTAGCTGTGTTGGATTCCTTCTCTGTCTCTGCCTTTGTCTGAGCAACAGACACTTTTGCTGATACCAGTGGCCTGTTTTTAAATAGACATACATAAAGAAAAAATACTGTGTATTATAAACCTGTGAACTTTCTTTGAAATAATTTCATTTCACACATCCACCAAATGCAAAGGACATTCTTAATTCTTTATTTTTTATTCTTAATTTCTCTCTGTTATATCTATGCAGCTTGCTCCTGACCAGGGCCTCCAGCCTGCTGACCAACCCACAGATCTGAGGCGTAGGTGTGAAGAGGAAGCTCAGGAGGTCGTCAGGCAAGCAAATACCTCGTCGACAGGACAGCTTTGTGTTGAGAGTGAAAATTTAACTGATCTTATCTCTAGGCTTACAGCAATATTACTGCAAATCAAGGTACAGTGTTCGCAAAAAATAGCATCTCCCATAAAATACATAGTATTAAAGCTCTGCCAGTTTCTTTGTGCTGAACTGTGAGAACATTTTTGTTTTCTTCTCCTACAGTGTCTAGCAGAAGGAGGTGATCTGAATTCCTTTGAATTTAAATCACTAACAGATTCATTAAATGACATTAAGAATTCAATAGACTCCTCAAATATCAGGTATTTAATTCTTAATTACCCATTCTGTGCCACCAGGCAGTTCTTACTGTATTTTAGAGATGAACATTTGATTAAAATTCAGAGGTTTAATCTGGTAACTTTTACTTAACTGGAAGGGTACCATGTAAAAAGGGGCTTCTTACAGGGTATGTGAAATGAACAGTTTTCTGTTTGAACCTATCAGTGAAGTAACCTCTTAAAAAATTATTAAAAAGTGCTGAATTGGTTCAGCAACACTAGACTTTCTTGTTCTTTAGTCATTGATGACAACTAAAAAGTTATTTTAGAACATTTTCAGATTTTGAAATCCCACTAGTAATACAAGTTCTTTAAACCACAGAACAGTACAATTTCAGTGTTCTTTTAGCATACTCTACCTCTTGTCCGTAAATACCAAAAACTGGCACATGAGACCAGCTTCCATTAGCAAAATTTTAAGCCAAGAAACAGAAGAACAGCAATATTGTGCCAGATCAAAGGCCCATGTAGTCTTGATGGGCCATTTTTCAACAGTTGTCACAAGCAGGTGCCGGAGGAGGCTTTATAAAAATAGCAAGAATGTGGTGATACTTGTCTGGAGTACACTGCAGCCTCCAGCAATTTGTGACCAGCATTTTTTAAATAATTAAAATGCTGCTAAATTACATCATTTAGAAAATATACCTAAATGCTAAGTATTTTCTTATACTCTTATTACTTATATTGCTGCATTTAAACAGGAGGCTGCACGCAAGTCTTTAAATTTCAATTTTTTTCCCAAAGATAGTAAGATAGCCTTTTATTTCAAAACAATTATTGAGAAATGCTATTTTATAGCATCTTTCATGAGTAAAAACAAAAACCGCAAGCATTAGTGAAACTTCTCTACAATCAACACTGCAAATTACACATTAGAATGGATTCACTAAAGGTTGATGAACCCAGTGAAGAAGGTGATGTTTCCATTTCATTGTATTTGTTTTGGGCATTTTAGCATGTCTTCATAATATTTTGATTTCACTAACTCTGGTCATGTTAAAGCCTTATTTAAAGTACCCAAGTCAGTAACTCTTGATTTCATGCAGCAGTTTGTGCAAATGCTGTTTTCACATATTTCTCTATCAGGTTGCATTTGTTTCTACCGCTCTCCAATTCATCTGAATTTTTATACTGGTTGTGTTCACATCTTGATTTTCACTGTAAAAATATTCAGACACAACTCTTAAATGTGGAGTTAAACACTTTTATTTATTTCCTTCTTCTTTTCTTCCCATAGTTGTTTTCAGAATAACGTTGAGATCCATGTTGCACATATTCAGAGTGGTCTGAGCCAGATGGGAAATTTACATGCTTTTGCAGCTAATAACACCAACAGAGACTGAAAACTTCCTCTCAAGTGTACAGCAAGTAGTTCTGGAAAACCTTCCTTTCTATAGGCTTCACCAAATATCCTAACTGCCAGAAGATAAGGGAAAAGAAAACCTCTCAGAAAGGACCCTTTTGAATCTATTATATCCGCTTCTTAAGAAAACCAGCATTACTGGCCAGCGTTACATTAGATTTCTCCATTTGTTATTCACATGCAGTAGTTTTGCTAACTGGTAATCTCTTAGTAATTGCATTTATTATAGTAAACTTGAAAACATACTTTCATATAATTTGAACTTAGTTTTTAAAAGTTCAGATTAATTCTGTGCACCTCTTGCTGTTGGGTCTCCTGGTATGTTAGAAGTGAGGAAGAGGAAATGGTTCAGTTTAGTAGCCACATGGCAGGTCTTTGTTGTGTAAAGCTACACTTCTGTGTAAGTCTTGAGAACTGCCAGCACCGTCCCTGATCTAAGAAAGCAGCAGCAGCAGGATACAGGCAGCAAACATAAGCTGTAAACATGAGGATGTTAGGCAGGTCTATCAATCAGTCAGTGTCTTGTTGGAGCACTTAATTTATCGTAACTTATAGAAGGAGTCTAATGAAGGAATATAAAAAGGTAACTGGTAACTTTCCAGAAAGAAATTGGTTATGGCTTTTTCCCTCCACACAGGGCAAAAGAAGTGCTATGGTTGGTATTTTATATAAATGACTGGTTAAACATATTGTTTTTCCAAATTTTTGTTTGTTTTGCACAACTTTTAAATTAGATTACTGGTTATTCAACAGTACCCAACATATATAAATATGAAAATTTTTATAATGAAATATAACCAGTGAGGTAAACTACAAAAATAAAAAGTGACAACCTGCCTAGGAATTGGAATTAACCTTTTGGAATGTTAATCTTGTAAAAAGTGTGTATTGGTTTGTTTAAATAGTCTTGTAAAGCTTCTGTGTAATGAATCGTTTCCAGATTTGAATTTTCAGAGATAGCTGTAGAGATGTTTTTGATTCTTTTAGATGCCTCATTAAATAAGGTCTTTTATATGTTAATGTATAAAGAATATGTAAACAGGATTATTTTCAATTTTAAAATTTTGTATAGTTTAAAGATGCTTCTGTATTCTGTGTTGGTATTGTGCCACTGCAAAACTTTAGTGCAGAGTTTATATTTAGCTAAACTTGTTCTGTTAATTAAGAGAAATGCATAAATCTTTTATTCTCATTGAAATTTGTAACTGAATAAATTGAGCTATGAGAGTTGATATATTTCACAAAAATGCAAACTTTTTTGCAGATGGTCTCAGGTCATTTTTTTAAGAGAAGTTAATTGCTGAAAAAAGAAATGTTAGGAGGACAAGGTGAGTAGTAGTTTTAAAAGGTACTTAGAAACTTTACAAGAAATAGTACAAAATAATGCTAAACAGTAATTTAGCTGAATTACC